CAAGAGGGTAGGAATGATGGTGGAATGAGTTAGACATCATTATCCTAAGTACATGTATGAAGACATGAATGGTGTGAAAATATTTGTATACAATCAGTGACTTGAAAAATTGGGCTCTATATGTATATGAATTGCATTCTACCACTGTGTATAACAAATTAGAATAAATAAATAATTTAATTAAAAATGAAAAATAAAAAAATAAGAGAATCACACAACAAACTACTTGTTTTATTCAATTCCCAGACATTTTATATTTGATGATTAATTTGATATTATAATTAAATATAATTGTTGGTGTATGACACATATTAATTTACCTTATAGCTTTAATGCTAAAATCATATTTTATTTTCACCTTCATTCCAAAACATTTTCAGGTTTCTACTTTAAATGAGCAGTTTTATAGTAATATTATGAATATATAAAAGATAAAAGAGTTCACCTATTTTGAGAAATTTCAATTGATGAGAAATTAATAGGATGAAAGTTTCTCCTAGATTGGTATAATTATTTTGCATTTTCTTCTTGTTCATAATATTCTACATAATTTTTTCCTACAATATCTCTTACCTTCACAATCATTGATTTTGTTGAGTTCCCTACAAAAGAATTTTCTTCTCAGCACTCTGAATGAAAACTGAAATAGATTGCATTAGATGCCTTACATAGTCACAAGGCCTCCTCAGAGCCATTGCTACCAAATGGTATATCAAGTAGTTGTGACTCTCCAGGACAAGCAGTTATATGAATGAATCTCTCAGTGCCAAGGAAGTGACCCTACAGAAGTGTTGGGCATGCTAACAATATATTATAGGAAAAAATCCCCTTCAGTAGAATCAATAAGACTCATAACCCTTACCTGATCTGGACCTCTGAAAGACAAACTCAGTAATTGTTTGAAAATTGCGTTCACTGAACATGTTTCCCTCTTTGGGTTGACATATGAACTCTGGGCTTTAAGTAGTCAATTATTTTTGTGTTTAGGACATATCATCTGACTAGATAAAATCTAGCATGTCTCTTCTTTTGCTTGTTAATGTTATTACTATTATATAGAATAGAAGGCATTTGTAAGCTTTATTATTTTTATTGATCAATGAATATATAATTAGTTCTGTATACCAAAGAACGCTTACATTTTAAATATCCTCTACTTAGGTATATATAAACTGTGCATATCGATGATTTTTAAGAAATAGGTTAAATTATAATGCAAGCATTTGAAATTTATAGTTTATTTTTTGAATATATTAACCATTTAATTCTGACCCATTTGACATACTTTCCTCTCTAGCCAAATGTAGTAAGATTTGCCTATAGCATTTTCCATATCTCTTACTACATTATATACATATATAGAGAGAAAATGATTAAGGTATTTTCAAGCTAAATTTTGTAATTTTCCAATGCTAAGCTATTAGGACTTGTTCAGGATTCTCTCCACATTTCTCAGAAATTCATACCTGTCAAATTTAACATTTGATCTTTAATTTCTTGAGGCTATTTAATACTGACATATGTGATAACCGACTATCCAGTTTCTCAGGATTTGGTTTCATCCATTTCATCAAATAGTTTAAGAAGTTTGAAATGTACCCAGGATCGTTTATCTAAAGGGACTTAAAGAAAGACAATACTTGTAGGATTTTATTATATACCATCTGAAAGAAAAATTAATTTTGCCTCAGGTCTCAAGTGTAAATGAGAGCTCTATTGAATAATGAAATCTTGTCTGAATAACCTAATTGAATGAAGGTACAAGAAATATTTAGATATTTCATGCCATGGATGTACTTCTGTCTGAATGGTTAAAATTTAATATCTAAACTTTCTCCAATTCACTTTTTGTTTGCATACTTATGATATGTCTTCTATTCTATATTATGAAAACAATAAAATGACCTAATATCTTCAAAGCATTTGACAGTAAAGTACTTAGCTTTTAATGAAGAATGGCACAGGATGACTTAAAGGGATGCAGCAAGATCAATCACAAATGATTGAAAATTACATTGCTTCTTTGTCACTCATTTTTGACACATTAATTCTTCCAAAGAATTTATTTTTTGAATGACCTTTTCTTCCCACTTAATAATTAGATTCTATTGTACTATAAATTTAAAAATATTCCTTAGAGCAATGACTGGCAGAATATTTGGACTATGTATGAGGCATATATTCTTCCCATCATTTTTTGCACAAATACCTAACATATGGCCAACATCAAAATATGTAGGTTATGGCAGCTGGTATCAAACGTTGTACACAAAATGCAGAATTTTCTTCTGAGCAGGTTCCTATACATGATCTGGAACACATGTTTGATATTATCTGGGAAAACAAAACAATGAGTCAATGACTAGAGTTCTATTTTACATTGAAAAGGAGTTTGGCTCCATAAACTGTTTCTGAGAAGAACATTTCACTCTGAGCATAGCAGCTAAAGTTCCATTATTAATGTAAATAAACGAAAAGGAAGAGAGAAGCCTTGATGATTGCCATGGTAAAAAATTAAACAGCGCTGGGACTGTCGATTGGAGTTGACTTTGGTAACTGGCTGGGAATGCAGACATTTGATCCAGCATGCACTATTACCAGAATTCACACTGACCAATCAATAGCCTCTCCTAAAGTGTATTTGCTCTTTGGGGAATTACAGGTTCCCAGTGACACTTTTGAAACCTCAACACTTTCTGGAAAGTTTTGGGAATAAATGCTACCTTCATTTTAGAGTAAACTTTAAGATGTTTCATTTAGTAAAAACATGCATTTCCTCTGCTTTAACTACTATAGTGATTTAAAGGATTTAGAAGAGTTCGTCTGATGCTAAACTATACATTCACCGATCTGCATTTTGATCTTGCAGGTCCTAGAATAAACATCACTCACCATCCTGGGCATCAACTTTACTTAATGATAATGTACATTAGTTTCATCTTCAGAACAATTTTTATGAGTGGTGGAAAAATCACATTAATCTGCTAAAAACTTGAAAACAAATGAGTAAAATTTTTTTGTGGATTCTTAGTGAATAGTCTCATATTAAGTACTACTCTTAATGTGTAAGAAGAATTCCCAAAATGAAGATGTGGACCATCTTTTTAGTTTACAACTTTAATCTAAAAAGTACTTTAGATTAACTTTCTGTCAATACCAATTGTATAATGAATCATGTGATACATGGATATTGATTCTATTATTTATCTGTGCACATACAAGTACAAGTGCTGCCAAAAAATATGCAGCATATATACATATATTAATATTTTTATCAATTCCAAATCAAGTACTTTCTTCTAAGTGTAGTCCTACCAGTAGAATCCTACCTCCTTACTAGTGAATCAAATTGTTAATCAAAAACTCATTTCCCATTAAACAAATAAATAAATTTAAATGCAGGTGAAACTATGATGATCAACAGACTCTTCAATTTTCTACTTTTTAAAAGTATGTACTTTTCATAATTAAATAGAGTAAAAATGACAGCACAATATGGTGATTAAAAATATTATTCCTTTTTCATGAGTCTTAGTGAACTAACTTGTTTTCCATAAGGAGAATCCTGAACTCTGACCTACACAATTCAGAATAAAAGGAAATAATGTACAATAAAAATGTGATTAATTTAAACCCATTATTTGATTGATTAAATGCAAACAAAGATTGTATTGAGTTATCATTTCAAACCCATTAGTCTGGAAAAAATCAAGGTCTGACAATAACACAGTTTAGAAATTATTTAAATACATATCATCTCTTCATTTTTGGATAAGACAAGAACATATAAGCACATGCATTTGAGAAAAGTGAGCAAATTATCAGCATAACATTCAATAGGTTAAAAATTTAGATAAAGGAAGCAGAAGATATTTCAATTTTTTAAACTTTTGTTTAATGGTTATTTTCATTAATAGAACTCCAAGTGCTATTGTCATGCATGTTCTAATTATATTTGCCGCAGACAAATGCCTGTGAATTTAGCACTGTAGGCAGTGCTACATAGAGAACCTGAAGGAAAACAAAAATGCCATTCACTAATGTATGTTGGATCCTGCTGAATGTTAAGGCCCATAATAATTTTTTTGTGGTATACTACTATTTAAGACTATATGAAAAGAAACTCAAGAGTATTTGCAGTTAAAAAAAAAAAGTTTCCAAATCCTTTCTTTTTCTCATAAAGCTTGTAAAAGAAAAACATGAACAAATGATGGTTGAATTTTGCTCTTCTAGGAACAAAGAGTTCACAGATCTGGAAAATTGCTTACTTATAGCTGAGTGATGTCTAGAATTTTACATATGAGAAAATCTCATTTTGCTTTCAAATCTTCTCTATAATTCCCAGGTCCCATAAAGGTTTTTCTGGACATTAGAACTACAGAATTCCACCCCATTTATTATTTTCTTTCACATATCATATAACAAAAGTGTATTTTTAACTAGCAACCAAAGTGAGAGGTCAGTGGCTAGCATCAAGGCTGGCTTGGAATAGAAGTATTCTGATCCATGTACTGCTCTCTCTGCCAATCTTACACTTTCCCACTTAATTTTAAAATGACTTGGATGTGAAAAGTGCATACGTTTTTGTGCCTAGACTTTGTCTTGAAGAGGATATGATCGTCTGAACAGCAAAGTAATAGAATACTGGTTATTAATGCTAACTAGGAGTATGAGAGCAGAATCAAAATACTGTAGCCAACTTTTAAAAATAGACAAATGTATTCCCAAACACTGGGCAATTATTTTTCATCTCTGTCTCTGGAAGTGATACACCAGGAAGAACATGATGGATATGGTGACATGTGACTACCTACCTCCCTATAGATATTCTCATCAGCAAGAAGCAGAATGTTCTCAAGAGGTCTGTGTTAGCATCTGTAGTTCTCAGGACTAAACACCAGTGGCTCAGTAGCAGGGGGAGTAAATAAATCTCTCACATGGGCAGAGCCTATCAGCTTTTTATTAAAAATAAGTTTCTCAAGCACAACACAAATGACCTTGCTTTCCCTATTTGACTTTCATTTCAGTATGTACCCTAAAGTTATTAAAATAATATTTAAACATTTAACAGATCAATTATGTTAATGAAAGAAAATCACATATTTGAGAGGAATACAATTTTTAAATATATGCAGTGTTTTAAACTATAATTTACAAATGCCAAATATCTGTCTTAAGTAATGAATAATATTGCCTATCCCAAAGCAATTTACATCTTGTGATACTCTGTCTAAAGCTGAGAGCCAAAAGACTTGATATTGAGGTAAACAAGTTTACTGGCCTAGACACTTTTCATATCCAACAGAGGAAGGACCATCACAATTGGTATTTCCTGGTGTATTCTGCCATTGCCTCTTCAGCAACCACCAGGTGCCCAGATATGAGTGGCATTGGCCTAGTGCACAGGTGATGCTATCATTGTACTCCCACTGAAGCTTGCAGAGCCGCCATTCAACACAGACTGGGGATAGATAAAAGGAAAAAAAAAATGTGGATTATTGCTCAGTACTCTGTTTTGTTTCCCACAGTTTTTTCTCTTCACAGTTTGAACATTTTATTTCAATCTATTAAGATCCATTGAGATCAATTAAATGAATTAAATGAATACTTATTGTTCTTTGTCTAAAAAGGAGAAGTAAGCAATTTACTGAAGTATTAATCTATACTCGCTGCCACAATTTAAAGAATTTTGGTTAAAAACTTCTTTTCTGTTTTCAGAAAAAACTAAAATCGTTATATAAGCAATTCAAAAAACTAACATTTATTTAAGACAAGTATTGTGTAATATACCCCCTAGCCTCTCGTTTCAATTTTTTTTCAATAGAACATAAACTCAATGTCATAAATCCCCTATTATTTCAAATAATACATAATATTCACTTTTCATCATCTATTGTTTGTACTAGGCATCTCCTGAATGCTTTCTCTAACAAAATCTCAGGCACACAACTTGCATTTAATATGCAATTCGTTTCCATTTTCTCCCAACCTGTTCCTACACTAAATACCCCAACCTAGTTAATCACAATTCATTTACTCATCCCAGCCAGAACTTGGATCATTTTAATTTTCTTCCTTTCTTTAATTTCTTCAGATCAAATTGTTCAATTCTTCTCATCAAATCCATTTTTGAAAGGACTCTCAATCCGATACCTTCTTTATATTAATACAGCCCCAGAATTAATTGCTGTCTTCATCATTCTCATGCTAGAATGCTACAGTGAACTTTCTGCATTTAGGTTTTCATCACTTACCCCTGCAAAGCAGCTAGCATCATCTTGATAAATGCAAGTTTGGTCAAGTCATCCTCATGATTAAAATCATTCAGTGTTTCCTCATTATCTATAAAACATAGTGCCATTTGGGGCTGAAAAGATAATATTGGCCATTGTTAAAATTTTCCATATTCATATCTCTAAATACCAATCATGCTAATTTATTTGCCATGACTAAAAAATCTCATCCACTTCAAGATCCTTAGACTACACTTCCAGATATCCTTGATCATTCTCACTTTTTCTATTTCCATTTGTCAAAAGTAAAAATTCAAGCCAGGTGCAAAAAGAGTGATTATGTATTTGTGTTTTCTACTAATAGTGCCAGTTTCTGCCCATTGATTCAGCATAGTAATAAATTCCCCTCCCTTTCACTATCAATCATGGCCTGGATGGTAATATAGATGATTCCCTTAGACAAAAGTTACTTTTTCTCTAAAATCATTTTAAATAGTTGGGGAACTGTAATTATTTCTATGTGGTGTATTATAATACATGGTAGTATAATAGATTGTGCATCTAAATGTCATGAGTTAGGAATTCTATAATGATAATAACAGCAGATATTCTGTAATGTCTGTTTATGTTGTGTTGGACACAACTACAGGCTATTTTCATTTGTGCCTTATAACAACCCTATGGATCAAACCTATTTTTCAGATGAAGAAATTGAGGTAAAACAAGTTGAAATAACTGGGCTAAGATGATACATCTGATAAATGGTAAGTAGCTTTGCTGTCAGGTACACCACTAAAATGGCTTCAGTCTACCCTTTTACATACAACATCTGGATGTCCCTATTGTCTTAGACTAAGTTCCTAAGAGATGCATGAAAAGTACCTTTGTATATAAATGATTCTAAAGAATAACTTTGAAACACCATTTCAAGGCTCCCAATGAAATAAATTCATATAATCTTAGTTTTCTGGTTGCATTAAAATAATAATTTCATTTTTTATTTCATAAAAGTCCAATTATGTTGATATGGTAGTGATTTTTTCTTCCTGCCCTAACAGCAAGAATAGTAAATTACTACCATTGAAGTTATTCTAATTATATAAATTGCTGAATAATTACATAAAATCATTTTGGGAAGTTACAATGTCTAGCTTTCCTACTGTATCTAAATTTAGTTCTTTTTTTTAAAATTGGTTGTTCACAACATTACAAAGCTCTTGACATATCATATTTCATACATTAGATTGTAGTGGGTTATGAACTCCCAATTTTACCCCAAATGCTGATTGCAGAATCACGTCGGTTACACATCCACAATTTTACATAATTCCCTATTAGTAATTGTTGTATTCTGCTACCTTTCCTATCCCCTACTATCCCCCCTCCCCTTCCCTCACATGTTCTCTCTCTACCCATCTACTGTAATTCATTTCTCTCCTTGTTTATTTTCCCATTCCCCTCACAACCTCTTATATGTAATTTTGTATAGCAATGAGGGTCTCCCTTCATTTCCATGCAATTTCCCTTTTCTCTCCCTTTCCCACCCATCTCAACTATGAACAGAGCAGGGAGGAAGAGCAGGAAGAAAAGATTAACATTAAATAAATTTAGTTCTTTTTGTTGGTATTTTTTTCTTATTCATTTACTTGTTTTAATAAGAATAGTAGATTAGAGATTGTTATGGTGCTATGGTTTGGAAGAATATCTCCTAAATGTCCATGTGCAAAAGGCTTGGTTCCCAGGCTGGTACTATTGGGAGATAATGAAAATTTTAGGAGGTAGACTTTTGTAGGATGTCATAAAACCATTGTGGCTATGTCCTCAAAGGGGATTGTATAACTTCATTCTTATCTTTGTGGCTTCATGGTTCTTGATGTGAGTGGTTTGTTTTGCCACATGCTGTTGATTAAACACTAGAATTTCCAAAACTGAACAAAACAAACCTACTCTCTTGAAAGTTAATTGCCTCAGGTATTTTGTTATAGTGATGGAAAGCTGACTCATACATATTGTACTAGAGAATCTTGACATAAAAACAGATGGAAAAAATAATTTTCCAAATTATATGTTTGCTGGTGAGAGGTATGTTGAGACATTATTAGTGAAAAGTAAGTAAGTGGCTATAATTCCCTAAATGATTGTGTTATTCAGGTTTCCAGCACTACCACAAATACCTGAAATAATCAACTTTTAAAGAGAAAATGTTCATTTGGGATGAAAGTTTTGTAATTTCCAGTCCTTGATTGGTTTTTTTAGGTTTTGTAGGGAAGTATATATCAGGGCAAAACTGTTCAACTCATGGCCAGAACTTGAAACAGAGAAATGGTTAGGAGTTTACCACGTAGAGCATGCCTCCCATGGCCTAAAGACATCCCTCAAGTAGTATACACATCTAAAGGCTTCCAAGATATCCCAATAGGGCCACACTGGGAAACAATCCTTTAACACACAGATCTTTGAGGAATACTTCAAATCCAAACTGTTTGACCTTCTACTTGGGAGAGAGAATCTGCCTAATAGTTGACAATTTCCTGGACTCATAAGCATAAGAACAGGACAGCTCTTTATTTTTTTCAATGTAATTATTTTGCATATTAAGCTTGCAGAAAAAATATACTAATGAGTACTCTAGAATTAATTATAATTATTGTAGAAGATATCTTAAAAGTGAACAAAATTACATGCATTGAAAAAAAATCTTTATATAACATAACAATACCAAATCCTCCCACTCTAATTAGCTTCTAATTCCCTAATACATTGCCTCATTGTGTTGTGTATGTGTATACATACATGCATAATTATAATATATGTATGTATATGTAAAGTTTTCTTTGCATAACACCACAGGAAGAAGAAGCACATATATATTGAGTAATAGGCTGGTGGGATAACTCTTCAAATCAATTAAACAAAGTGAGCTTTGTGAGGAAAACATTAAGTGAATTTCTTCCTGGATTACTTTTCTAAGACCAAAATTTCTCTCCTAATTGATACCTTGAAGCATGTTGTTGCAAATTAAAGTTTATGTCAAATATTTGGCAGTGCTTCAAGGGAAATGATTTGGTTCACCTTGATTCTCTAATTGAGATGTTTCAGGGTGCTTTTCTTCTTTTTTATCGGGAAGTGTTGTGATGACATTGTCTCCATGAGATGTTTCAACTTGAGTTCTCACTTCTTTTCTTGCTGAGTGCTAAATTGTTTTTTAGTCTATCTGGCAATCTGTTATTTTCTTCCTCCCCCAACAGGGTTCAGTATTTGTCCTTGAAGGGTTGTCAACTGCAAAACTCAAAGAAAATTGTATATCCAATTAAAGTAAGGCAAAACACAACTGTCAAATAAAAGCCATTAACCCCCCGAGTACCATAATTTTTGGTATATCTGACAGGTCTTTTCTCAGCTCTTTCAACTCGATTCATTCCCAATTCCCTTCTTCCTCTTAAAGATACTGCTTGTGGGACAGTTTGATGGTCTATAATAAGTGTTGTCGATACAATTTTGTTCATGTGTAATCCAGTGTAAGCAGCCTATTTTCTAGACTCATTGTCAGAATAAATAAATGACTTAGTTCATTTAGAGTGGTTAATCATCATATTTTATATCTTCTTTTTATTTGTATTAATTCTTTTATTCACTCAGCATGTATACTGAGTTTCTTTTACCTCCCAGGAACTAGACTATTTCCTGAATATGCAACATTCTATAAGGCAGAAATTTCCTGCCCTTCCAAGTTTCCAACCTAGTAAGAAAAGATAAGCAGATAATAAACTCTGATTGCTGCAACTGTTCCACATGACAGAACAAAATAGTAAAAGATTCTATGAGAATAAATGACCATGATAGAACAGAATGTAAGTTGGAAGATAAGTTAATTGCCTTCCAAGCCTTATTAGCAGATTCCACAGTTTGTGTGAGATTATGAAGAATAAATGGATATATCTATAATGATGATAATGTTGAGGAATAAGAGAATGAGGAGACATGTAGCTAACAATTTGTTGAGGGCTGTTTCAGTTCTGATGGCCATTATAGGAAAGAATACTCTTATTTGGCTTTGAAAATAAGGAAACATCTTGTGTCTTTCTGCCTGTCCTCGGTGCATGGACTTTGCCCTCAGTCAGGCCCCATTCTTGGTTGTAAAATGGCAGCACCAGTCTTGAGTATTATAATCTCACAGGAAGATGCTTTCTCTGCCCCATATCTCTTTTTTAGGAGTACGAACTTCTTCCAAGGTGCCCTGACTTGACTATTTTCATATTTTATTAGACAAAATTGAGACATGTGTCCATTACTAAGTGAATCATTGAGAAAAGGAATATAACTGGCAAGTGATATGATGATATTAGAAATGGAAATTAGCAAGTCAATCCCCTTAACCTCTTCAGAGATCCTGAAGTATATCTTCATGTCACTTAATGCACAGATTGCAAACTATTTAGAGTTTTAGAATGTCTTCTCTTGATAGTTAATACATAATTTCAATTTTTAAGTCAATGTCTCATAATAATTTTATAGCAGCTACTATTCACATATCTGCTATTCGAATTAGTAATTGGTTGATTTGTGAGAAGTGTAGTATTTGACACTGTTTGTTGTTAAAGTTTATTTATATGTAATTTTCTAACTATGAAGACAAAGGGGACTGATTTTTGTGGTAGATGATACATTCTGTCTTCATTGCCATTTTCTTTGCCAATATGAGAAATTGTTCATAGAAGAGTCTGAAGAAAAAAAATATGAAAAATAACAAAGAAAAATTTTGCACTGATTATGCCATCCTAGCTTTTCTATAATATTGATAGCATAATTATAATAATATTTACTGTTTGTTGAGATGTGAATGTTTTGTGATTGTTAGATACTTAGTCTTTTCTCAAAATATCACTATAGAGGGTGTAATTTTTATTTCCAAATCAAGAATGAAAAAATTGGGGCTTCAGAAATTTAGATACAGCTTTGAAAGAGGCTGGCAAGATTCACATCTGTCTTTCTTACTCTGAAGCCATTGACTTTATTGCACAAACACTGCCTGGCACTATGACTTCAGTCTGGAAATTCCCTGAGGAATAAGAATATGGTTTTAACCATCAATGGCTTTTGGAAATCCCATTAAGAATATTCACCTATAATTCATCTGTCAATAATACTTTAAGAAGTTTACATTTCTGCCTTTCCTGAATGGCACCCTAATTAAAGTAGATTCATTATTATTACATTTCCTGTGGCAACTTCACTTCTAAAACCTTGCTATTTTCTTTAATTATCTCAAGCTTAGCTTTCTAAAGATTGAGCAGGATGTGAAATGACATTTATTTTCCATTACTTTTTCTGCTGTATGTTTTGTCCTAACTAAAGAGTGAAATTTCCTATAGAAAATTTAAATGTATTTCTGATTTTGATTAAAGCACATTTGTTTTCCTATTTTATTTTTTTCTAATTTAAATGTATTTCTTATTTTGAGTAAAGCACATGTGCTTTCCTATTTTGTTTTCTTCTAATACTGTCCACAAAAAAATTATGTTATCTATTAACTAATGCCCTTGTGGATGAGATATCATATGCATTTTACTCTTACGGATAGAAAGAGTGATGATGTTCTAAAAGTGACATCAAACAACCTGATGAACACTGTTCAGAAGGCTACATTCTAGCTCTTATTTTGTTGTTGTTGTTGTTGTTGTTGTTGAAATCAACCCTTTTGCTGTTATGCACTTTCTCTGGCATGAGTTTGTTGAAGATGTGATTCCTTATAGTTTCAATGAAAGTTAAGTGTATTTTAAGATACAGGAAAGATAAAATCACTAAACAGATAATTTTAAAAATATATTAGATGTATCAAAACAATAAGTTATGCTTCCAGTCCTGGTCTTCTGGCACTAAGTTTTTATTTCAGAAAGAAAAATTTTTGCCTTTTAGTCCCTTAGTGTCTCATAGCTACAATTTAATAAAAATTCAAGACACTACTTAAATAAGAATATGGTTTTAACCATCAATGGCTTTGGAAATCCCATTAAGAATATTCAACTATAATTCATCTGACAATAATACTATAAGAAGTTTACATTTCTGCCTTTCCTGAATGGCACCCTAATTAAAGTAGATTCATTATTATTACACTTCCTGTGGCAACTTCACTTCTAAGACCTTTCATTTCATATAGCTAACAAATAACTTTTTTAGAATAAGTATGCTCCATGCAATATTGGAGACATGAAGAATGATCACTTTGCACCAATGCAACCCAACATTTTCCATGACCCATTCTTGGGCCAGGACTTTGCTCCTGTTATTCACATAACTTATCAGAGTTTTTTCATTGTTAGTGAAGATTCCATTGTCAGGTAATTCTATGGGTTCCATTGCCCAGTGATATTAGGAAGATATGAGGAGGGTTAAATGATATTTTCTTGATAAATGGGTACTAAATTGAATGGAATGCTTTGGAGTCTGATGTTACATGAAAAACAGTATTTCTTATTTGTCCTACCAGAAAGAAACAACTAATAAAAAGATGTTTGAGCACACCTTAAACCTCTGGCATATGGCACCCAATCAGAAGTGTTTGCAATACTGTCATATTACCAATTTCATAATGACAGCACAGAAGACCTAGTTAGGATTACCAAGGATCATTCAAAAAGTGGATTCTATCTCATGTCACAGAAAACATTTTCTATTACATGCTGCTTTAGCATATTTAGGGAATTTCATTGAAACGATCACTTAATACCTAAAATAAATCACTTGAGTAAGCTGATGACTACCTTACAATCATTAACTTAAAGAGAATATGCGATGTATATTTAACAAAGAGGAGCTTTTTCTTGCATCTTCTGCAAATAACTATACACTGACAATATCATTAAATGTTGTGACAGTTTATTTTTCTATGTGGAATTCAGAATCTGACTAAATAGCTTGTACATTTTGCTTACTTGATGTGTTCTGGGTTTGTATCTTTTAAGTTGTAGAAGAAGAATCATCCTGACTCATGCCATTTCCTAGTAGTCCACAGATGTTGTCATGAACCCTGTGACAACATGAGAAATTTCATAGACAGTTCATTCATAAGGCTATACAAAATACTCTAAATACATGAGGAATGACAAGGACATCTGCAAGTTATGGCTGCCTGCAAGTCTCACATTCTTTTCATACAATCTGTGATGTTTGTGTGGATTAACCACATGCTGTTCAAACTCTGAACCTTGGAAAATTGTCAGTTTATAAAATAAACAGATGACCAATGATGTCTGAATATTTCTGGAGCTTAGAGTTCATGATTTATGAGTCCAAATAGTTTCCTATAGTTATACTTTCTCCAGGCAAAACTTGCCTTTAATTAATAAAATAAAGTAACTTAAACCATCTCTAAAATTTTAATTTGTCGTATTTTATTACATTATTAATAATAACCAATAAAAATACAGTGTTGTAATACTCAAAATACAGATTGAGGGAGAGTCATTTTGAATTAGGAAGTCGGCAGTCACAGGATTTTTTAAAAGGGTAAGATTAATAAACCTTTAGTTCAGAAACCTAACTATTTCTCTCATGCTCGGTTTTCCCACCTATACAATGGGAGAGTTGAACTAGTAAATATTGCTTAATCGTTACTCAAACCTATAATTACAAATATAATGAATTTGATTCTAAGCAATATGAGAAATCGAACAATCTGTATGTAATTCACATTAATAAATTAGAATTATTACTATAAAATTGTTAAAATTACTTTTAGAGTTATATTCCTTTTTAAAAAGTTTCCTTTGAAGTTTAGAAAACAGTAGGACTAATTAGCCCCTACAAAGTCAGGATTTTAATTCATTGATTACAAAACGATTTAAAATGAATAGCACAGATATTCAGTTACAGGGAACACTTTGTTCTTCAACCTTGCTTATGCTATAGCCCAATGGCTTTGAGTATCTCCTGATAAGTGTAGAAAAAATATATTACAGCTCATATTATTGAAGTGTTAGGATTCCTTTAGAATGTTGCCCACTGACAGACAAGAACAAAGGACAAACCAACTATGCCAATCCTATTGTAATATACAAAAACTAACTTAAAGAGAATATGCGATGTATATTGATGAGGAGGGTTAAATCATTCAGTAATGATACAGAAGTATCATTTCTAACTTCCTTTTCTTATAATTTTTCTGGAGATAACATGAAAAATTAATATAATGAAAAAGAAATATGGTATGAAATAGAAGTTAAGCAGTATGAAGAATATATAAAACTGTATAAAACAAGGTAATATATGTAATAGTCTT